TGCTTGACAAGTCGTGTAGGATTATAAGGTTACTGTTTAAAGTGACAGGAAAAAAGGGAAAATCTAATTTGATGTGACTCAATGCGTTATTCGCATGAACACAGTTGTCAGTCTGCTCACAGCCACATAACAGAGAGAACTGGTGAACACACTGCGTTAATTTGTTTTTCGATGGAAGCAGACTGTCACGTCATGTAAATGGGATAGAGCCTAGTCCAATCGTTCTTTAAAAAGCGTCAATTTTAGGGAGAAAATAACGTGAGATGGAAGATCGTTCCAGGTTCTAGACAACCGAAAAGATAAAATGTCCTATCGTTAACTAAGTTAACCGTGGTGTGTGGTCAGTTTGAGCTAGTGCCCTCACAGGTTGGTATTGTAGCTGACTTTCAACAGATTGCGATAGGCGTGGTTGGGGTTGGTCGGTATTTGGTACAACATAATAATGTTTACCCGCGGGCGCCACTATTCGCCGCTGTACACGCCTAGAGCTTGCAGCCTGCGTTGGTAGGAGAGGTGAAATAGTCCTCTAACGATTGTTGTTTGTCCTACAGGGACAACTCCAATCCAAACTCAGACAAACAACCAAATTGCATCAACTCCGACAACCCTCATTATGCCCCAGGCCATAGTACGTGAGAACAACACTGTGACGCAATCTATGCCGGCATACGGGAACAAATGCCTTACCGTCGAAGTTATGGCTACGTACGCGTCCGTTATCGCAATCTAAGACCCAGCAGCAAATTCAATGGCTACACCTGCAAACATCACACAGGGCGCCAGGAGTGCCACATATTTGCACATCATTCCACCAAGAGACTCTGATCCCATACTCTCACAAACCGGTCACACCTAGACGAGCCCACGGGTCGTTAACGATTGCATACTCTAGTCTTCCTCAATTTAACGCGATCTCTATAAAAGATAAACTGCTGGAAGACCGAAAACAGTGAGATTATCTATGCTTACTACTAGACGTCCAAGCAAAGCGAGATAGCATGGTGCGCATTATGCGGCACCCAACCTCGTCCCACTACGGAGAACCACGACTGGTACGGGTAGCGCTACAATCAATGAAGTATGTTGTATCAGTTCTTTTCTCGGCCACTGGTCTTCGGACTGATACATGCGACATTCAGATTATCTCCGACGTCCCTTGGAGCGAGGGTCGACAGAGAAAACAGAATCCTGCTAATTACCACCATCTGAACAGCGAAAAGTCGGTCTTTATTCATGGTGTACCGGAGCTTCTAGCCTCTTATAATCGTGAAGCTCCAGCACATTTTTGGAAGGAATGCGCCACCTTCGTCAGATGCTTTCACGCAACAACGTGATCGCCAAATCGATCATATAACTACCCTCATCATCCTAGGTAGCTGCCATGAGGTTAGCTGAACCGTCATTTCAGTTTTTCCAGCGACGCTTTGACAAGATGCAGATTCCAACTATGTGGAAGCGTGGAATCGTCACTCTTATTCACAAAGGAGGCAATCGTACAACGCTCTCAACCTACCACCCTATTACTCTTCTTCCTGCGCTTGCTTGGAATGTCATCGCAGAAGTCCTCATGGGATAATTAGAAAGGTGGAATATCATCGTGAAGGAGCAATATGGATTCCGTCACAAACGGTTGTATGACGAACCTTTTTGTTAGCACTTGCGTGTTGGACGGAATCCGTCGATTCTGGGGAAGAAGTCGACGCCGTCTACCACGATTTCTCGAAGGCTTCTGATAGCTTAAACCACGGCTTTCTTCTTTACAAGCTTTGGAGCTATGGGATCGGTAACCCTGTTCGGGGCTAGTTATAATCATTCCTACCCCAACGACCCTTTCAGGTCATTTATTGGAAGTAACTGACAAGTTCGCTGACCTCGGAAGCTACTCCTGCGCTAATCGTTTAACGGTGGAAGTCTCTTTGCGCGTCTTTAATGCCCCGTTTGTTTTTGTTAATCTCCGCCATCTCTGACGTCGATGCGACCTGAGTCTCACCTTGAAGGGCCGAATCTATAATGTCACAATGATAGCTGTCCAGCCTACGGTTGCGGGACTTGGGTTGTTCGCGCAAAGCATTTGGGAGACTATGTGTGTTTTTGACTACCGTTGCTTTCGGAGCATTGCTTGTACTCGATGGCAACATCACACTAGTAGTGAGGATGTTTGACGGAGGATTTTCAAATCAGACACTCTTTGCCGGCCACTGAGCGGCATAATTTTACTGCGCAAACTTCAGTGGCTTGGACATGTACTTCGCATGCCTACTCATCGTTTACCTCGCTGTGCCCACTTTCACGTGCTCAGAAATCGGCTGGAAGCGAAAGCAAGGTGGCCAACATATGAGTTGGGCCAGCAGTATGAAGGAACTAAAAGTTAGCCGTGCTCGGGTGCTCTCGACTCCCTGGCTAAGTTCGCAAGAATCATGAACACGCATGGCTGGAAACCCTCTCAGATATGGCAAGAAACCGTGCGCAATGACGGACATGCTGTGACAGTGTTTATATTCTTTTTATCTTCGTTTGTTTATTTCACTTCCCATATGTTGTAGCACCATGCTAATTGTACTATTGGCTATGTGTTGAGTATATATATATATATATATATATATATATATATATATGCCAATGAGGTTTAAATGTACGAGCGCAAAGCGCTCTGTCCGACACATTAGAGGTTCACCTTACCGTCCATGTAGGCTCGGTACTAGGACTGCGACTATTGCTAGTGTTCATAAACGACCTTGCGGTAGTACTGACGTCAAACTTTCTATTCGTTGCGGTCGTTCTCAAGATGTGGCGGGAAATCAAGCTGGTAGACTACCATATAACTGTAAGGCGATCACAACAAGGCTTACTAGTGGTCCGCTCAGAACATGCTTGAGTTTAACCCTGTCAAAGGTAAAATAATGAGCATGCGCCACCAGAGTATCTACGAATATCGACTGTGCGAACACGTCTTGCAGCGTACTGCTCATGAGATTGATTTTGAGGTGCTGGCACAGGACGACCTCGGATGCTCAAGACAGATTGAGAAAGCAGTGAAAAAACCTACCAACAATTAAGTCTACTCTGTAAGGCGTTTGGCCGGTCTGATACCCCTTATTTTGCTAATGTTCAACACCTACCTCAGTCCGCATGTAGAATGCGCCATCCATGTGTAACACTCTTGAAAAAATGTGACCTCACTGCTCTTGAGAAGCTACTACGGAGGGCGACAAAAATGTTAAGGGATTGCTGCACCTCCCTTACTGTTTGAGACTAAACAGTTTGGGAGTTTTCAACGAACAATACCGTCTTCTGTGAGGTGATCTCATATTGGTGTATCAGATCCTTTTGGATCCTAACCACCCATACCGACCCTTATTGAAACAGCCATAGCACTACATTGAGAGGTCACCAGTTGAAGTCAGCAGCACAGTATAGCCGGCTGGAATGCAGGTGGAACTTGTTCTCCATTCGTATATCCCAACCGTGGAACACTTCCACATTCGGTCCTCTTCGCTCTACGTTAGCGGAATTTGAAACCCGACTTGAGGACGCATTACACCAATTACATTACATTATCTAACCCAATTATCTTGAACACGGGACGAAGTAACCAACATATGTTCACATACAATTTGAGGTAAGTCCATCGCTACGCGTTTTTACCGATAAATTCACTTTACCTACAGAAAGAGTTAAGCGTGTTACTTTTTTGTTCATTATAAATCCATCGTTCCGCTGTTGGTTGACGACTCCGAAGACCGTTGATGGTTGCTACGAGAGAAGTGGTGCACAGCCTTCGTAACTGTACTACCTTGAAATGATGGTTCCATCGTGGAACGGGCTTAGACACAGCAGGTGTTTGCATCATCGAGTAACTGATTAAGTCCATTTCACATAGGCTAGGTTCTCACTCAATGCGATTTTGCCCAACAGTTTCTTGGCTCTATCTTTGTCCTGGGGTAATGTCAGTTGGATTCCAGTATCGAATGAGGACTTCGCCTATTGTTTAGCTATTTGCTACCATCATAGTTGGTTTGTGCATGAGAAAGCACAGTTTACCCATGATGCTCCCATGGGCACATGTGTATGGTATCGCTTTAACATCACTTTGGGCATACCTTCAACCCATGTGGCCCATATACTTATGTCAGTAACCAGTGTAGGGGGATCCACAATTCGGACAACAGCATTATTGCACCGTGATACCACACCGTTAGCTGAAGACTTGGGTTACACCGATAACAGTGAATTATTACATGTTGGTTTCCCGGTCAATCTCCGCGTGAAAGTTAACCGGTGACAATGTCTCCCACATGCGTGGTTAAAGTTAAAACCGGATCATTATAACTTCGTACCACTTGTTGTTAATGTGTTGAAAATGAAATGGTGTCACTGTGTACGTTTGCCTCCAAGCGTCGCAGCCACTCCTTCGACCGCACAATGCTTACAGGCGCCGTCACCATGGTCTCCCTCACTCTTGCTGCACCACACCAATCTCGCTGGACGGAGGTGCACACCGACGCCGTCATTTCTAGCCGATCGATGCACTAGCAACGTCAGTCGCCCATATCGCACTGGAAACAGCACCATGAGTTGGTGTGACCAGTCTGGAAAGAATACCAGCACACGTGGTAGTCTGTCTGGTCATATGACGACAGTCTGTCGATGCCTTGTCGAATGTCTGCGTATGAAGTTCCACCTATGGTAGGACACATCAACGATGCGCCAGAATAGCTTAAACTTGGCTCCAGCCTCCTATCTAACCTCGCAGGGAAGTGGGAAAGACAGTTTAGCCACGCTTTGATTGGTTAGGGTAGTCTTTGTGTCGCTGTTTTGACGATCCGGCCGATCATGCACGCGTAGTGCGATTCCGGTAATTAACGGCCAGAGAGCTTGGCACATTCGCCGCACTAGAGTCTGCTCCTCCAGTCCGCTTGGCAACATACCAGATAACATTACTATTTCAGCAAACATTTCGTCAGGATTTTCTATTTGACGGTCCAGTTCGGCCTTCCTTATTTATCATGGCTTCTGCGACGAAACGGTTAGTTTACACTTTTTGCTAAAATTGTTTGCAATTCGTCTTCTCAAATGTTTATCTGGAAAGTACGTTTATGGTACTATTAGCCCGTTTCTGTCCACAGTCACAATCTAGGCATCAGTTAACGGAAATCTCCTTTTGCAGTCAACGAACAGTGGTCTGAATTCAAAGCTAAAGCGTCATCACTTTTCTCCCCTCCAATACATTTATCTTTCACACTTGTTACATGCAGATTGTTACTAACCAGTGCTCCATCAACGTTTTGCTTGCAGCAACTAATAGTCCTCGTTACGTTTTGGAGTATGGATAATGTCCTGGGGTTGTGACAGCTATTCACAATTTGTGGCCACTGGGACCACGTCCAAAACCGCGAATTTCCAGTGATGCTCCATCCCAGGGCTGCACAACGAATTCTTAAACGCTATTTTGACGTTGCTCGCAGAGCCGTACATATTAGTAGGCAAAATAAGATTTATTTATTTGGTTGTCGCTGGTTTACCAGGCTAGTATCGCTCACGTGACGCGAGTCGTGAGATGCAAAACACGAACTGCACCGCCAGAAACCCGACTAGACTGATTTCCTTCAGTAATAAAATATCCCATTGGATGATTACAAGTAAATGCAAGACATGCTTTTAAAATTCCTCTTCAGGATTGTACAATTATACGTGGAAAAATAACAAAATGTGACACAACTTAAGAGTTGGTAAGATACATTCGGTTCACAACCACTGATCACTACCCGTTAGGTCACAAGTGCGGCGTACACACCATTCCGTGAGCCGGATGTCGCAGTTCGGGTGGGCTAAGGCCGTTTTCACGTCTGATCGAGCCGACTCGTTACAGTCGAATCGCGATGACCTCCGCGGATTCAAGCAAACACCCACGAACCCACTTTGATCGATTGTCTAGGTGTGATAGATCACTTTAAATGACTCAGACAAGTTGGTGGCGCAAGCATTGTCGACGAAATGCGTGGCTATGGATGAGTTGGTTTGTTTTCGACAAGTTGTCATGAGCCAGGCCGGATGGTGTTCTTTCACCTTTTCAGACAGGCGCCTCGTCGTTCTGCCGATCTGCTTCAACCAGAACGTAACCAGGTGCGCCTTTACTCATCTCCCTCCGGGAATTCAAATGAATCATGTGACACGTAGTCAGCTAACGACATACAGCGGGAACGCGATGACCGTCTACATATTGAATGCAGCCTCGTCGATCGTGATGACTGAGTTTTGTCCTGAAGTAAATCACTCCCCAACTCGAGCTTGAACGTTAGATCCAATTACAAAACGAGCATGGAACGGGTCAACGAGAGTAGACTATCTTTCAAGGGTTTTGCAAACAATGGCTTGTTGTGGTAAACAATTCTCAAGCGCGCTGCGAAATAAGTTTTCTCAACATCATCTTTCAGACGTGCGATATCAGCTGCAGTATTGCCTTTAAATGGCAAATGTATGAACAGATCTTTCTTGGGAGCAATGATCCTAGGTGGCTTTTGCTTTCGTCCTTTCAGATGCTTCATAATAAACTTATAGGGGTAACCATTTTCCCAAAGGGCGTCGCTGATTCTCTGTAGCTCTTCCTTGACGGTACCCGGAGGGCAAATACTTCGTGCCCTGAAGGCAAGAGATTGGATTAAACTTCTTTTGTGTTGTAAAGGTACTGCGCTGTGAAAGTTAGTGTACTGCCTGTCCACGTATGCTTTCTGTGTACCTTCCTGCTACATGAGCTGTCCGAGTTGCGGATAACTTTTACATCCGATTCGACGCTTACCTCGCACAATCAGCGTTATGTAAACTTTTCGGTCTGACGAGAGTTTGCCGAAAAGAATTCTTAACAATTAACTGGTTTCTGGTCTTGCTTCATGTGAATTACAAAACGAACACTTCAAACCCTAGCATGAATGTCCTGAATGTTTTACTAGTGGCACTACTGGAGATGGCTTCATTTCCTATTGATGATTTCGTGTCCTAACGCATTATGAAGCGACTGATGGCTATCAGGAGGAGCTAGCATGTTTTTGTCACAGACTCAGCGAGTAGAGAAGGTGTCAGAGTAGAGAGTAAGAAGTTAAAAAGAACTGAATGACTTAAATGACCTAAATGGCTTAAAATAAAATAGAATGACTTAAAATAGTAAATAGTAAAACAAGCAAAACAGAGAGCTTATTTATCTCTGTGAGCCTATTACTCACTATACATAATAACAGCCATGAAGGTGAACTGATACGGTGTTGACTAACTTGCTATTTTGCCACACTGGCACAAGGTCAAATGGAGTGTGCGAGTGCAGATGAAAGCTTTCGACGGACTACCTCGCATGGAAGCAAGTACCCAGGAGGCGGTTCCATGGATAGCCGTATTACTTCACGAACTTTATTCAACAACCACTTTCATCCTACTCTCAAACTTTCCTTCTTTCTAACAATGTTGTCGATCGAACTCCTCCAAAACCTATCTTGGAACCGTTCTGGATAATTCGAAATAACATCTACCTTTGCGATCCTGTTGTACTGATTACTCGGACCACGAAGTTAGGCTGTATCTCATGCAGCCGATATATATATATATATATATATATATATATATATATATATATATATATATATATATATATAGCAAATGGACTAGAACTACTGTGGCAATGATTTTATTCCCGATTTATAACTTGATACAACTTAATTGGAGTGTTCAACTACTTAGTTAAAATGGGCCAAGTAGTGCTGGCTAATAGGGGTATTAGATAAAAGCACAACAAGTTTTCGCAAGGGTGCCTGAATTGCACGTCGGTATCCGGTCATGACAGTGTGGATGTTTGTCTTCTGCAACTAACTTGCCGGTGAAAGATCGGTCAAACACAGGTTACCTTGGCAAGAAATGAGGTCACACCCGGAGATGATGGTGGCAGGCAATGCAGGTACTCGTTGGGGCCAAAGTGTGAAAACAGAAACGCAGTTAAACTAAACAAATTCCTTGACACATGAACGCGAGTACAGGGCGCGGTACATTGGTTAGTAGGATGATAAATGCATCTTATTCAGAGAAGGAAAATTCTTTAAACTTTCTCATCCAGTCGCAATGTTTCTTACCTTCGTTGCACATGGTTCATCCAAACCTTGTGCAGACAGCTAAATCGATGGATGGGTTGATAAATGAATGAATAGACAAATAGACTGATAGATTGATTGACTGGTAAGTAATTGTGCTTTTCCAGACTTATCGAAGCCTGCTGGCTGAGGAAGGGACTGCAACGAATTGCTTCTGAAGTCATTATTTGTTTGTTTGCAACGTGTTAAAATACATGCGACCCTTCTTCCTTTATTCTACACATGTGTTTCCTACATGATGGTTACGCGCTTCAGTAACGCAAGAATGTGTTTTGCTTTCCTCTGCAAATTACAATAGATGCCGGCAAGTAGACTTTTCACCCTTACCAGTCCTTTACATATAGGAAGCTAACATATGAAGGAACAGTTCACGTCAAGAGTATGATCACCGCTGCGACCAATTTGTCTTCGCAAAGAGCGGATCGAGCACATGTATTGCGACCTAAGAGAGGCAACTTCTCGGTATAAGGCATGGTTTGCTTGAACAATACTCAGGCACAACCTAGGAGCTGTGTATATGCATGTCGATAGATTGCACCTGGCTTTACCTCTTTTGATTTGATGCAACAGATTTACCGCAGCAGGGTGCCTGTAGGGGTTCGTGGGAGAATGACGGTCTGCAATAATATTCAGGTGGTGCGTATTACATTACCAACTTTCACAATGTGGACCGGTGTGTTTCTTTGCAACCAGTATTGACCACAGGCCGGATGAGTTATATAAAATAACTTTGGATATGAATATAGATGATACACAGATACGTGCTGCTCCCAGACATTGTAGCCTTTTTCTCATTCTTTATGCAATCCCGACATACTTTACCATTTTCAAAGAAATAGGGGGGTTTCCAAACTTATCCCGTGAGAGTTGACTGCATGTGTTAGCCGGCTGGAGGCATAGTGAACTCGTTACACCATTGGTGCAGCGTAATTTTATGTATGGCGCAAGCATTGTGTGCTAGAATGCAACGTGCAACAGCGACAATGCTTGTTTCCTTTTCGGACTCGGTTATAACCAAAGGGGTTCAAACGAGGTCGAAACAGCCATGACGAATGGAGGTAGATGACGAGCACTCTAAAGCAGAAAGTTGAACTCATTATTGTGTCAATTTTTAACAAGCTGGATAGTTTGATACTGCAAGTATCTGCCGAAAAGTAACATCACCCAGCGTTCTGTACTATTCTATGATTTGTTATGAACCAAACCAAGGGGGTAACTAGGTCTAAGGTCCGTTTAGTGTTGAAAAAGCAATACTGCGAAGGAAGTTGCCATGACTCCCGCCATCGTGAAAAAGATTACAAAAGGAAGAGGAAAGGATGTCCGCTTGGGAGGTTTCAGTAACTTTCCGATGTCATTTAAATTATCATTTGACTTCCCCGTATCGGCGAGACCAACCGAATCTTGCCCCCGAGTCTCTTTTTGGACCGTATATGGGCGACTTAAAATTCAGCGCATAGGTAGCTACGATCGACCTTGATTTTTCCAGCCGCTCATCTCTTGTTTATCACTTAATCTGAGTGCAGCTATCGTAAGCGTGTCACACCACACGAAGTAAACCTACGCTCAGCGGTGACCTTGAAAGAACGATACCAGTAGATGGTACCCTTGGCTCTTTATCCGGACTTACCTTTGCTCATCACTAAAGATGCAATGTGGAGGCAGCTGAAATATTCTGGTAATTTATCCTCTGTACACAGATATATAGACACTTTCGGAGTATCAACACAATTCCGCTGATAGTTTTCCCGTCCACCTATGTATTAACTTGTGTTTGTCCCAAATCTTGGCACAAGTGAGATAATTTATGAACACAACATATAGGTTCAAGTGCCATACCTCCATAACTTCGTAGGGTTAATGCTCTGAGGGATAAATGAGCCTTTCTTGATTGAATGCT